GCTGAAAGCAAATAAGTTGACTGATTATAAATAACACTGAAAAAAAAAAAGAGAAATATGTCCAGATTTTTCAGAAAGATGAAAGTAAAAGAGCCATACTTCTACTTCTTGATTCTTCAAATTCGGCATGTCTTGAATATATGCAACGCATTTATGCAAGTCTGTAGTATCCTGATCATCTGAGGCATCAATTACTTCGGTTCCCTGAATTTGGAAAAGCAACTTAATATATAGAGGATGGTAACAGGAAATAAATTGAAATTTCAAGGTAGTGCTCAAGTAGCCTTTGTTAAAATCACAAAAATATCAAGGAAAACGGCAACTGTTCATGTTCGAAGCCAATTCAAGTTTTAGTATAATACTGGAGTTTAATAGAGGGAATAAAAAATAGTCTATAATCTAAAAGATGAATAAATAGCAGATCAGACAGTCAGACATTCTGGTGTTGCCTATACATATGATATTCTGAGGGAACATTCAACCACCAGAAAATATTAATAATCATCCCACAGACAGAAGGTAACTTAGCTGATAACACAGCTACACAGATTACACCATAAAGATACAGATTCTATTACCATTTTCACATGACTACCCACCGGTTAATAATAGAGTATACTCAGAAATCAAATTTAGAAGCACGCTTTATATCCAAATAGAAACAGTTATAAAGAATAATAATAACATAAAAAAATCAGCTAACCAGATCTTTGTAGAATCCCAAAACTTCATCCCTAATTGAATCCATATCTCCTTTAATTGAATTTGGCTTATACCTGAATCAGATAGACAAATACGTATAAGTATTGATTCATAAACAAAAAACTTTCCTCTCCCAAAACTATGTATGATTACGTTATCTGTTTCAATGGAAGACATCAGGACACTAACTAGCCACATAATTCAACATGCCATAAACAACAATGCAATCCAGCAAGTGCAGGTGTCAAGAAGGAAGTGACAACAACAAATAATCACACAAAACTAGCTTCAAGTTTAAAGAAGAAAAAATGGCCAATATGTCAAGCATCATTTCTACCCGTACATATTCAAACTATACAAGAATCCATGGTAGATGCACAAAATCAAAGGGAAAGAAGTGCAAACTGCCTTACCCCATCGAAATCCGCTTATGTGCTTTTGAAAAATAAATAAAAGAAAAGGTCAATATTTCCACTGTTCAGCTACACAAATTCTGGCAGCAAAAATGATCAGCTTTCAGATGCTTCACTCACTGGACATTATTTCTTATTAAGGTGACTCATCTTTAAGGCCTTAAATTATTGCCGATTTTACACAAAGAACAAATAACTCTAATAAATGTAGTTGTCAATTACAGGGCAACAATTTCTCTTATTTCTCTGAAGTTCCACCGAATTCCAGCATGAGGCAAAGAAAATTAACGGACACTTAGGCAAGTGTAATGAAATAGAAGAAACCTTAAAAGCACGCTAATTGTATATAACAAGACAACAAAAACCAAGATCGACTACATCGAGAACTATACCAGGCGAACACATTATACAAAGAATATCGTCAGGTCAACACGGCCGCTAATGACAATTATTAACCAATCAATCCTATCTTCTTAAAGCAAACCATATACAGCACAATCGACTTCGAACCACAATCTTTCAAGTGCAAATAGGCCAATATCATTTACTCAAAAGTCTACGTATACCAATAAATTTCAAGCTCATTCAAAAACCAGTGTCCGTACCTTTTCCGAATTTCAAGCTCAACAGGAAACAACACTAATTACTCAGATTAAGCCCATACCTTTTACGAATCTCTAGAGCGTCCTCATCGGGAAACAACTGCGGCAATTCATCATACAGTCGGTTGGCTCCACCGTCCGCACAGATACGAAGCTGTGCTGCTCTACACAACAAACAACACCCAAAAAAAAAAAA